CAGAGTTCTGAGATATGCAGTTCTATAGACTGTTGCACAACAATTTGAATATTCTTAGTATCACTTCAATGTACATTTAAAAATGATTAAGATTGTGAAAAGGATAATCATCTTTCCCCTAATGAATATATGTGATGTAATGGCTCCATTCCTGGATGTAAGTAGACTTGGCTTGAATCTTAGTTCTGTCCCTTACCAACTGTGTAGTCCTTAGGCAATGGTTTTACCCCTTCAACTCTGCTTCTTGATGTGGATAATAAAATTAGTCTTGGCACTGGCATTGTGACATAACAGGATTAGCTGCCACCTGTGAGGCTGGCATCCCATATGGACAACAGTTTGAACCCTTGCTGCTCTACTTCAGATGCAGCTCCCTGCAAATGCACCTGGGAAAACAGCGGAAGATGGCCCAAGTCCTTGGACCATGCACCCATGTGGGAGATCTGGATAAAACTCCTAGCTCCTAGTTTCCCCCTGGCCCAGCCCCACCTGTTATAGCCATCTGGGGAGTGAACCAGATGGAAGATCTTCTGTGTCTCCCTCTCTTTCTCTGTAACTCTACCTTTCAAATGAACAAAATAAATCTTTAAAAAATAAATAATAATTTTTATGTATTAAATAATACATATAAAATATGTATGAAATATGTACACACATATATAAATAAAATATGTATTACAGGGGCTTACTCAATTAATAGTAATATTAGTTGCTTTTATTGATTTTTATTGTCAATATGAGAGTAACAAAGAATACCTGCTCCTTAAGAATAAATTTATTTAGTATATTATAATTTATACTAAATGTATTTATTATTAGTATATTGTAATTTATACTAAATAAGATTACTTAGTATATTTCCAACTGCAGTATGACTTTGGTATCTTTGTTTTGTTTTAAAATTTAACTCATTGAAAGTTGACGGTTTCAGGGCAAAAATTTAGAAAATTCAATTTACTTTGGCAGCTCCATACATAATCCAAAAGAACCTTTAAATGGACATTTTGAAAAGAAAGGCTGTTTCCCAGATCAATTCTTCCCCCATGGCTCCCTATCTCACTGACTGCTAAGATCATTCATAAGATTCCAAAGAAAGAGAGTAGTGAAGAGAGAGGAAGGGACAGAGATGAAGGAGGAGGGAGGGAAGGAAGGAAAGAAGAAAAGAGAAAGATGGCAGCTGCTCACAAATTCTTCCTCTCCTGCCACCTGTATCTGCCACTTGCAGGTTCTGGAAAGGCCTTAACTCCTGAATTTTTTCTAGTTCCATCAAAGCGACTTTTGTTGTCCAATATCCCCTCATCTCTCCCGACTTACTCTTTCACTTCCCAATGAGTCCTCTTATGTACCCTCTTTCCTCTTTCAGTCTACTTTCTGGTCTTCAATCCACGTTATAGCTCCCTGTTGGTCTCAACAACATGAGCTCTGTGGACCCAGGTCTGCCTTCCTCACATCACATCATCATGACACTCGGCGCTCTCTTCATCACTTTGTCTCCAAAGCTCCTCTCTGGAATCCTAATCTTACCCCTCCCATTCTGATTGTGACCACCCTTCGTATTCCCAGCACCTGTTACACAGCAGATGCATGTGTATGTGTTTCCTGAGTGACAGTTTAATGAGGGTGAATGAAGAGGCCGACTCACACCTCACACACCTGAGACTGCTCACAAATTGAAGGGTGGTGACCTCTGTCCCAGGAAAAGGAAAGGGAGAGAATTTGTAACCACGTCCCACTGTGTGCTCACTTTTCTAAATGATTTTTCCTTTCGCTTTCTTTATTCTCTTTCTCCTTTTTTTCTTCATTTATATTTCCATTTTATTCTGTTTAATTTTATATCAAACCAAAGCCACTTGAATTATAGTCACTAGTAAACAACATGATGAGAAGTCAAAGGTTTCAATGCACAGAAAATGCCTGCATGTATAAAACACTTTCATTTCATTCACTTCATTTAAAGTTTTCAACAACTCTGTTAAAGAACATATGGATTTCAGTACATAAAAAACTAAGATTGAATTTCAGCAAGCATATGCTGGTTATGTCAAAAGAAGTTTGACTGTTTAACTATTGTATGTTCAGAACTATGCCTGCATTATTGCATCATTCTAATGTGATTATACCAGTAAATAGTAGTTTTCCTCCTTAATCAAAAGCATAGCAACTATATGGAAAGTCACACTGCCAAACTCACTTGTAAGTTTTGGAGTTGCAAATAAGTAATTATGCTTCTTTCTTCTTCTTCATGTGTATGCATTTAGAACTATTTAAATCTATAAATTCCATCCATTCATGACCCTTAAAAGAGTGTATTAGCTAAATGTTCACACTTGTCCTTTTTAGCTTTAAAAGAAATGTCATATACTAGGTTTCCGTAAATGACCCACATTCAGATGTGAACCAAACATAATAGCTTCTGCCACTCACCAAGCAGTGAATTGCTGCAAATGTAGGACACAGGGCAGAGGACATTGTAAATTACTGTGTTTCATTGGCCATCATCAGAACCTGTGGCATCATATGTGACCTATTTCTAGAAACAATAATGCCTAAGGCTTTCTGGACAGGTGGAATGTAGTTTCTCTTTTAATTACATTTTGAGGAAATAATTTAAAAATATAAAATTTTCAGACATATTGAGTAGTTGTATTATTAAAAGAAATTCAGATTTGTAAAAGTCCCTATATTATGACATACATTTCCATCAAGTATCATAAAATTTTAGCTTTTTATTAAAAATAACTCTGGCCGGCGCCGCGGCTCACTAGGCTAATCCTCCGCCTTGTGGCGCTGGCACGCCGGGTTCTAGTCCCGGTCGGGGCGCTGGATTCTGTCCCGGTTGCCCCTCTTCCAGTCCACTCTCTGCTGTGGCCAGGGAGTGCAGTGGAGGATGGCCCAAGTGCTTGGGCCCTGCACCCCATGGGAGACCAGGAGAAGCACCTGGCTCCTGCCTTCGGATCAGCGCGATGCGCCAGCTGCAGCACACCGGCCGTGGCGGCCATTGGAGGGTGAACCAATGGCAAAGGAAGACCTTTCTCTCTGTCTCTCTCTCTCACTGTCCACTCTGCCTGTCAAAAAAATAAATACATAAAATAAAATAAAATAAATAAAAATAACTCTAACAAAAATTGTAAGAATCATGCAATTAATTTGTAAGTCCTTAGATTCACTGATTATTAAAATTTTCCCATTTTTGCTTTTATTTCTTCTTTTTTCATTCAATTTGATCCAATATCTTTAATTTTAAATAATTCAATTTGATGTTTTCACATACACACTTCCAAAACAGGAGATAAATGAGTTTAAAATGTATATATGTGTTATTTCTGACATAGTTGAGAATAATGAACTTTCATAATTTTCATTCTCATGAAAATCTTAAACTAAGTATTTTTTGAATGACTGTAATGTTGTATACACCATTTATTACTCTCTTTCTCATCAATATCAACAACACACAGTTTATAAAATTGGAAGTATTTTTACTTTTTTTTTTTTTTTTTTCAGAAACTCACCTACAATTCTTTCAGGCTCTTTAGTTTTCTAAAGAGATCCAAAGAAGTGGAAGTAAGTTAGAAAGATGTACAATATGTACAATAAAATAAAAATATGTACAATGTTGTATAATATGCACAATAAAGTATCCTTCTTTCCATAAGGACATTCACTTCTGGATAGACATTGTACTTCTGGACTGATTGTATTAGTAAAATTATTTCAGAATTTGTATTATCTCACTTATTATTTCTATTTTGCTTAACCAGTCACAGAAAGTTAACTCCTTGCTTGTACTAACTGGTTTTATTGAGTTGTTAAAGATATTGAAAACCAGTAAAGGTTGGTAAATTGACTAATTATCAACCCATCATGGAACTTTTCACTGGAAAATGCCACCCAAAATGAAAGAAAAAATGTTTAAATAAAAGTACAATGCAATTAATCTTTGTACATTTTTCCATTTTCAATGTGCCAGTTTCTTCTATTTTAAAACATTTGTTTACTGTCCTGCAGTTCCATGCTTCGATGTTCACATAATTATTCTTTCACACAGAATGAAGGAAAAACAAAAAGATAGACAGTTTTCTGGGCAAAAGGAACAGAAACCAGTAGAAACAGAACTGTGATCCCTAATTAATTCAAAGCTAATTGCATTGTTGATAATCCTGCACTTAAAATCTTCATACAGAAAATGTTTATGGAAGCAAATTGACAGCAATTTAATCTTACATTAAATCTTACCACCATTAAAACAAAAGATGAATGTTACATTAAACAAGCTTAAGAGAATGGTAAAGACTAGTTCTTGTTTAACAAGGCAACTGGTAAATCATTCAAACAGCAGACCTAGAATCTCAAAGCGCCATTAGAACAGTAGTTGCATTGCAAGATGGCAGCAGGCCATATGGCCTGTCTTGGGCCATCAGTTAAGCTGACTGGCAGTTTTGTTTTTATTTTCATTGTGATGAATATACAATACTCAGAAAAAAAGAGACAAATGGAAGATATTATTCTGTGGTTATGTAAAAACATTTATTTCATTATTTTGGAAAGAATTGAGAGAGAAGTAGAGTTTATATCTGTTACTAAGTGAACAGTCAGTATGATAGAATGAAGTGAACTTGGTGTTTGGTCTGAGTTTAAATTCTTTCCTGTTACTGAAGGTAAGCTAAACATCTTGTGCTTTAGTACATTGATATGTAAAAGGTAGGATTAAGGTAAGGTCAACTAACACAGCAAATGTGAAACTGACTGCCATTATTATGGGAAATCAATACATTCTATTATTAATTATCTAAACTACTTAAAATTAAAAAAACTCATATAATTTTCCTAATCATTGATATAAAATACTTCCAGTTTTCTATTTTAAATGTGGGGAGGCACATCTATGGGATGTCTAAGTATCTTGAAAGTCCAATTCTATATGTTGGATAATTCTTACTTAACTCTCGTAAACATTATTAGAGAAAAGAAGAACAGTTAACATATAATTTTGTTTTTAGGTTGCACAATGATTCATGGATATCAGATGCATTTCAGCGCATCCACAGTGAAGAAGTCAAGTTCTTTATGCCATATGATTTGGAAATTTCCAATCAGGAACTAAGTTATATAGTGAAGAGATCTGAGCAGTGGAGAGGAATCAATGGAGAAAGGAGGAAGGTGAGTTGGTTTGAAATACATTTGATTTTTGACAACGCACAAAAAAATCTGCCCTTGCTAGCATATTAGGAAAGTTGGCAAATTTCCTGATGTTGTTCTTGAAGGTACTTACTATTGTGTTTGCTGCCATTTTATGAATTTAGAAAGTTGATTTTATATTGTTTTTTGGTATTTATTTTTAATTGGTCCAAAATTATATATATTAATATTGTACAATACAATAATTCAATAGCTGTATACAATATGGAAAGCCAATCTCCTTAAACGAGAGTCATTTCTTCATGTTTGGAAACTCCCAACTCTTCTCTTCTAGTTCTATATAAAATAATAAATTATTTTGTTATTATTTGTTGAAGTGATGAGACTAAACCAGACGGTTCTCAGAGTTTGGTACTATTATTTTCTTTGAGATATATTTATTAGACATGCTGTATGTGTGATGGGCAAAACTTCACAAGGATTGGGAAAAATATAAATAAGCGAGTGACAGCACTTTTACAGGTGAAGAGATCATCAGCTTTAGATTAGCTTAGAGTAAACAGGAAGAAAATACTCTTACTGACTTCCTCCTTTAATGGACTGTTAGTCCCTGGATTCTCTTCTAGTAATTCCCTTTACAAATTTCTTCTTCATCTCCATTATTTGTGCATGGTAAATTCTGCTCTTTATTCTACACACTGCCCTTTTGTTCACCTCATTTTAAACTGTCCTCCATCCTGTTAAAGATTCTCAAATACAGTTGTTGTTAATTAACCTCCCTTCCAAGTTTCAAACTACATAAACCAGTAAGATTAATTCTCCAGATGGATGACCCAAAGATGCCTAAAATCCAGGAAGATACAACCATAGCTACTTCAGTATATTAAGTAGTGAACACATGCTTCCCACCTATATCATTAAATTATAACATTTGCACTCCTATCATATCCTGTATGTGGTATTTTCATCCACTCTGAATGACAAAATTATCAACTGAGTTTTTCTAGATTTTTCCTTATATCCAAAACTTTTCTTCTATTTTATGAAGTCTTGTTGATTCAGCTCTTAGTATTTTCTATTCTTCATTCCATTTGCATAGTGAGAGAGTCTTAAAAAATGTGCATTATGAAAAAAATTCCTGAACTTCAAAAAATTTGCATCAAAATTGCCATTTAAAAAATTTATATTGACTGATTTGATTTATTGAATGGCAGAGAGAGAGAGAGAGAGAGAGAGAGAGAGAGAGAGACCAAGTGACATCTGGTATCTGCTCGCTGGCCCCTGAAAAGGTTGCAACAGCTGAGGTTGGGACAGGTGAGAGCCAACAGCCAGGAACCCAGTCTGGGTCTCCCACATGGATGGCAGGGACCTGAGCCATCACCTGCTGCTTCACAAGGTGCCATTAGAAGGAAACTGGGATCAGGAGCAGAGTCAGGACTAAAACCCAGGCTCTCTGATATGTGGATACAGGCATCCCAAGTGGCATCTTAACTCATACAGCAAACAATGCACCTCCCAAACTTATCTTTTCATTCCATTATCCATGAATTTATTGAAGTGTTATTTTATATTCAGGCCTTCAATATGCAACTACCGGTGGTGATATTTTGCTAACTTCTATCTGTCTTCCATCTCACTCTGCCCCATCTTCACACTGTCCATGTAGCAAACTCAACTTATGTCACAGTTTTATTTCTAAACTGCAAATGTGACCCTGTATTTCTCTGTCAAAAATACCTCAATAACTTTCCATGGTCTAGATGGAGAATAAAAGCTAAAATTCTTATTGCTGTGTAAATGGTTTCATTAGATCCTGTTCTTGCTAGATGAACCTCATTTCAGACTTGATTGCTTTTCAGCCACTTCATATTGCAGTCTTTCCTACTTCTTCCTACCCAGCAGGCTTCTTACCGAGATGTGATGAAGCCACACAGTATATGAATAATTTGCCAAGAATGTCCTAATGCTTCACATTCCCACCCATTCTTTTCTGTTTGGCGAGGCATCTTTCCAACTCCTTGAATGCTACCTGCCAAGATTCCAGGGCACAACTCCAGTGTATGTTCTGTGGCATCCACCCAGGGAAAACTGCTTCCTGTTTGCCCAAACCACCTGTTTAATGTGATTCTTCTAGCAGTCAATCGGAGAATTACCTGTTTCTGTCTCTGTCTAGACTAAGACTTCCTTGTGCAATGAGAGAGCTGCTTATCCATCTTTATGTCCTAGGTGTCTTAACTTTATTTCTAGAATATAGCATTGATTTACTGCCTACCTATTCAAGTCACAAAGGAATACGTGTATGAATGGGTAAATTAATGAGCATGTTTAGTTTGCCCATAGAATGAACATATAATATATGTCAACCTTTTCTCTTCCTGAAATAAACTTAAAGATTAGCTGTTTAAAAAAGTCCCACATGGCCATTGTTAATTTAATCAATATATATTTTTTAATTGTTTATTTGATAGTTGATATATAACTTTGTAATGTACATTTTTTTTTTATTTGACAGATAGAGTTAGACAGTGAGAGAGAGAGACAGAGAAAGGTCTTCCTTCGGTTGGTTCACCCCCCAAATGGCCGCTATGGCCTACGCGCTGCGCCAATCCAAAGCCAGGAGCCAGGTACTTCCTCCTGGTCTCCCATGCAGGTGCAGGGCCCAAGCACTTGGGCCATTCCCCACTGCTTTCCCAGGCCACAGCAGAGAGCTGGACAGGAAGAGGAACAACCAGGACAGAACTGGTGCCCCAACTGGGACTAGAACTCGGAGTACCAGTGCTGCAGGCAGAGGATTAGCCTAGTGAGCCGCGGCGCTGGCCTATTTCATTGTTTTACAGCATGGAAGTTCAGGAATTTGGAAACAATCTAAAGTTGAATAGTAAAATTGTTTGGGTTGAACAACAGCACCTAAAAATAGAAAACAGAGTAAAACAAAATTATTTGTGTATTTGTGCTTTTACTAATTCTTTGTTAGCAAGCAAGGAGAGAGAGCAAAGGGAGAGGGAGAGAGATTGAGAGTTGGAGAGAGACTATGTTAGTGCTAGGAGTATCAAAGTATGTTGTAAGTATTTGAATTTTGAAATTTAGTATTTGTCCTTCTTTGTAACATTATGTTCTAAGTAGAAGAAGTCAATGCTTGAGTGTCTAACACTGTGAGTAGATTTCTTAAGAAATGACAGTTTTTAATAGTAATTGTTATCAATTTAATCAAAGGCATCGGGACCTTCAGTAAAACATTTTGTCTAAGATACAGCTGGACCACTGTCAGAAACTCATGTGTCAAGATGAATGGCTGCTGTGCCTTTTGCGAGATGTAGAGACAGCCTCCATCAGCAGTGGGAGTCAAAGATACTTAGGAAACTTATTTGACAAACTGTAGGTCACCTTCTATTTCTAGTTATTGTTGTTAAGACTATTAAACAAATGCAAACATTCCCAAACTTGAGTGGATGGCACATGTTTTTACTTGTTATGTCTCTTCATGGCCTGGGTGTTTGTATCATGAGTGCTTCCTATTCCTTATGATGAAGTTTTGCCTATTATTTCTCTCAAGTTGACTTATATTTTCTTGTTTAGTTTGTTTCAATAGGAAATACAGGTTTCTCTGTTGGATAATGCATGTACTAATCTCTAGATATAAAACTGGTTTAACTGAGAACAATAATATATTATCTAAAATGCCAAATTAAGAGTGGAATAGATATTTTAATGCAAAAGCATCTCAAGTAAATAGTCCAGAATTCTTTAAAAATTTGCGCTAGACATTTGCCATAGTGCTAGCTATTAAGCACATGCTTCTCATTTTTATGATCTGGGATAAAAATTGCTCTATAAATGGACACTTTATAATATGCTTAATTTCCTTTTATTAAATTGATAAATGCAAATGCACAGAACACATTTACAGTATGATGAGAATTTGGGATTATTGCATTTTATTATTTTTATATTGTTCATACATATAATTTGTCATTTGTTCCAAGAGAGGCAGATGATAATTTCAAAGTATTTTATCTATTTTTTTTATAAGGAAAAGGTCACTTTCAGTAGTCAGAAAAGACATCATTCTATTAAACTAATTTGCCTACATGCAAATTTTGTCATTTTTACCTCATTAACTATTTATCATGGTGTAAAAAATATATATTCATGAAGGGGCAGCTCACAGCCTGATGGAGCTGGAACTAATATTTTGCAACTCTAATGATTTTTTGCATCCTTAATTAGATAGCATAAGGTTGATATGATTAGGTCAGGATGTAGTGTTTTTCATTAAAATACATTTTAGATGCTGTATTCATAATCTGCCCTTGCAATTAAATAACGAGCCTATGAATTTAATATTATCGACCCAATTATTATCCCATGCAAACGTATACCTTTAATAAATTTGTGCCGTAGGACCTTAATTAGCAACAGTAAGAATGATATTTCTAGGTACATGGATTGAATTGCTATGGTTAAACTTACATAAGGTTTTAAACATAACAGGAAACAAAGCTTCCATGTATAGGCATTTAATTCCAAAATGTGCCTTACAATTTGTTGAAGACCAATTTACATTGTAATTATTTTCTTAAAGAAACTATCGCTTTAAAAAGAGCTATTGAAGCTCATGAAAATAGCAGGATATTCGGTAGGGATGGAAGATTAGAGAAGGCCGTGCATCATGGGACAATGATGTGTACTTTAGAGTTCCACTCAGGAGCAAAATGGGAAAATATAAAACCTAAAATGTATTTCTCAACTATCTGTATTATTCAAGAACACTCATATGCTATTGATGAGATTTTATTATTTTTATTGTATGTTACAGTAGTTTTTGTTAATAGATGGCTGGACAGTAGAAGTAGACAAGGGACTCTGAGAAGGAAATGCCCATTTCTTACCATCAATATACCCAGGGAAACAGAGACAGACATAGAAACAAACCCTGTTCTACCATTTTTTTGTGAGTGCTGTCTACTAATCTACTATTTTTATGGCTTTAGACCACTATGAGAGCAAGTGTTGCAATCTAT